AAAACTTTGTGATGAGCTGAAACAGCCATGATAAAAAAATAACGAAAACAAGCAGAGCGAGCACGGGAAATCAATCGACCTGGAAAACAGCGTGCGAAAGGTGTAGACATATCCAAATGCATACGCAAATTTAGCTTCTCTGATTGGCCACAGCTTAGACCCTCGTTTTGTAGGTGTGAACGGAACTCCCGTATTTTATGCCCTTATGACTATGCCATTTATGCCGCAGTCTATGCTCTTTATGCCGTCATCTGAACGCAGCTTTACCCGAAACGAAGCCATTAAAGTCCGAAATAAGCAAAATTTGTTTTCTATGTGTTTTCTAAATCTGTCGTTAAGTGTCTGTCTGCTAAGCGGTCAAAGGGTATCAGATGACTCAGACTATCTGTTCAAATTTTGCACATGACAGGATCATTTGAATGGTAAAATTAACTGCCACAAGAAGGAACTTTTGTTTCCGTGGTATTCTATAACTTTTTTCTGAGATATCTGTCTATTATGCAGCCTTTTAAAACCGTAAAGAAACAACCTAAGTAATTTTAAATTATAAAATTTTAGGTTTTTAATTAATATGACGAATATTTTTCTTTACGGAATATGTAGTCAGATTTTATATTCTCAGCGTTCTCCCACAATCAGTGTTAAAACTTGCATTAACAAATTTCTTGACTTTCTTTTGAAGAACGTTAATAAATGGAAGTAGGAGTTTGCAATTTATTGCTCAGGAAATGGAGTTAGTAATCGTTATTTTCGAATAGCTTACAATGAACATTGCTGCCTTTATATATAAAATCAAATATGAAAAAGAACATTTAAATAGCTTGCTTACAAATTTCTTTTGAATGAAATAAACTAAATGGTACAAGTTCTGATTTCCCTAATGCAAGTGAAAGCTTAATTCGGAAGTGAAACAACAATTTAATTTGAAAGTAAAATCTTCATAGTATGACGTTAACAGTTATCTAGTCTATGCTGAATATGATATCTCTATATAATAGCACTTTTGAAAGTAAAAGTAGCAATACCTATTTATGGAGATAGATGGCGCAATAAAAGAAATATAATTCAGAGTGGTCTACATTTTGGTCAAAAGGGATTCAAATAAAATACCGCCACGTGTATCTATGTATGATGATACAAGACAGGAAGACTATGAGACTGTTGCTAATCTTTCCTCAGAGTATTCTCCATCAAAACTGGAATGGATTCTGGATTTACGTGTCTTATTACGTATAGGTTATAAAAATATCAGCGGCACTTTTATATACTCCCTTGACGCTAAAAGACAGATAGGTCCATACATCATCAGGGACAGAATGACGATTTTAGTATATATGTATTTATCGCGTTAGCAATAAATCAATGCATACTGAAAGCATTATAACGAGTAAAAAATATATTTAAAATGTCCAGAACGGGCTACGCTTGCCAATATCTTATTTCATCTGCATTAGGAGTTAATTTATTGGAATTATTATGTGATATACTTTATCAATTTTTGTTCGGGTTTGGGGAGGAGATAAAGTATATAGTTTACAAGCTATTTCTTAATAGGAAAAATTTCAAATGCAAATAAGTATTTATATTTCAATTAAAGGACAGATTTTAACAATAAAAATTACTTTATTTTGTATTTACTGTTTTGAAAAAGATGGAAATGTAAAAAAGGAAAGAGAAAAATGGCTAAAATTTCCATACTGTTTATAAAATGAATTACATATTAAAACTTCACAAATATTCTTAATGAAATAGCTACTGAAAGCTTTAAATCAACCTTTTTTAATTTTAATTATTTTCTGATTATAGCTTTTGAATTAGAATAGAGGTTTCTGAGGGCCTTGTCTTAAGAATAACGGTTAAACAGTTTGCATGTGTTTCGTGGAACTTCCAGGAGTGAAAATGTAGGTCAGCAGTAGATTAAATTTTACAAATGAACTAAAATGTATTATTTATTGATTGAAATAACATACTTTATGTAAATATGACATTTTCGGAATTTTCATTATCTCCTTCTTAGGCAGAAATTATCCAATGGCAATTAACTACATTCGTTAACTCAGTGACTAAGCAAAACTGCCTACAAAACAGGAAGGCTTGAGTTCCCAACCATAACCGAAGACTTTACGCTGCATCTTCATTGAAAACGATCTCTTAGAGGGGCAGAAGGCTTTCTGTACTCCGATTCCGCTTTCTAAAGGCGTTCATATATTAGGTATACAAATAAGTTTTGAGGGATTTACATAAGATATAATTACTAGTATTAAATCCTATCGGACAATTTTGTAAATGTATTCAGGTTAAAGCACCAGCATTTCCGTTTAAATATCAGTCTGTTTCATTTCGTTGAAGTGTAAACAACAAACTTTCTTGGCGCTCAACCCATATCAACCTTTGCACCAAATAAAACAAAATTTGCGGGAAACGCTTATTTTTTTATATTAATTTGAATAGAGGTGCAGCTGATGGACATCAGTTGATCTGCGAAGCATATGGGGAACATGCTTCATCAATAAAACATGTGACCAGTTTTGTTTGAAAACGCTGAGTTGAGGGGTTGTTGGACCAAGATCCATGCCAAACTCAAGAGGAGCTCGCCAAAGCCTTGGAAGTGACTTTTTAGCGCGTTTTAGAACTTTTTTAATATTATTTTAGTGAAGCGATTTTAAAGCGTCACAAAGCTATGGGTATTGTGCAAAAACAAGGAAATTGGGTTCCATATAAACTCAAGCCAAGACACGTCGAACGCCGTTTTTTCACGTGCGAACAACTGCTCTAAAAGCAAAATCGGAAGAGTTTTTTGCATCGAATCGTGACGGGGGATGAAAAATGAATCTACTGCGACGACCCAAGGCGCAGAAAATCGTGGGGTAAGACCGGCAATGCATCAAAAACTTCAACGGCCAAACCGAATATTCATAGTAAGAAGCTAATGCTGTGTGTCTGGTGGGATCAGTTCGTAGTGATCTGTTATGAGCTACACCAGCCTTACGAAAATATCACTGGAGAGCATTACAAACAATAGTTGATGCAGTTGAGCCGAGTATTGAAGCTCAAACGCCTCCAATATGCCAAAAGATAGGACAAAATGATCTTTCAGCAAGACAACGCTCGCCCAAATTCTGCAAAACTCGTCAAGGAAACTTTGGAGGCGCTTGAATGGTATGTCCTACCAAACCCGCTGTATTCATCAGACATTGCTCCTTCCAACTTTCACTTGTTATGGTCGATGACTCGTGACGCGGCCAAGCAGCACTTCACTTCATACTAAGAAGCCAAAAATTGGGTCCGTTCTTAGATCGCCTCAAAAGGCGAGGAACTTTTTAAACTCGGACTCCGTATGCTACCTGAAAGATGGAGAAAAGTCGTAGCTAACAATGGAGAATACTTTAAATAAAATACATTTTTCCAATTTCTCTGAAAACAAAAACAGTTCAAAACTTATTTGTACACTCAATTATGTATGCTCAGCAATATTTGCCCAACTAACTTACGTTCTATTGTTCTGTTATTATGAAGTAGTAATAGGACGTTCTATTAAAGAAGTAGTTAAGAAAATACATTAGAAAGAAAATATCTAGACATTCAATAGCAAGGCCGTTTCTGTTTTAGCATTCGTTTTTTCACAGATGTTTTGGAGAACTATGGCAATTAACAGTGGACAGGACTAGGGGTGGACGAAGTCGGCCCACAGCCGAATTCGCTTTTCATAATTGCTTAATCGGACCCGTTATGAAATTCTATGCAATATTTTCATTCCTTTTCTACCTGATTTTGTACGCAAACTACCGAAATCAGCAAGTGTATATGCGAATATGTGTGAAAGAATGTGTTAACTGAGTAATAACTGAACTGAGTATTTGCCGAAGAATATAATCCTGCCAGCATATATAGCAGCTTTAATTTAGAAATTAAACGAGAAGATAATGAAGTTAATGTAAAAAGGTTACTCAGAGCAGGAAGCTTAAAGGAAGAACATTTCACCTCTAAATTTTTATTTGAAAATGAAACAGTATACATGCTAATTACTGGACGACTAATAGAACAGAACCCGCTTTTGGCGGACGTATATTTTCTAAAACTGTAATTTTCTCAAATTGTAATTGTAATTTTTTAAATCTTTCTATAGGGGAAGATTGTTTACCTTCAAAATTTCTACCGAAAAAGGGTGTTCCTCTCCTGCCCCCAATCACATTTTTCAAACAACAGGGGCACCACAAAAGGTGGTCACGGTCCTGCCGACATCTTCTAGATCAGTGGCTCTCAATATTTTTTGCTCTATACACACCAATCGGCGTTGCTATACCATGTTTTTTTCCTTTCCAAAACTCGAAAAAAATATATATAGTTATTAAAATTTATATTATTTTTCATGTGTTTTATAAATCAAGCAAGAAAAAGTATAAAATAAGTAGAAAAATGACAAAACTTGAATAAAAATAGTTTTTCATTTTCATAAAATAAAACTAAATAAATAAAATTCTTCTTACGTTATCTACAAAAGCCGCTCCGAATTTGTACAGTAAATGATATTTCTATTCATGCTGTTTTTTCCAGGTAAATAAATACTTACAGGTCACGTCGTTGTAGTGTAGTTTGTCAGAAACATTTAAATGCAATTTCCACACCTTGTTTAGATATCTTTTTAGAATCTTTTTATTTTTTGTTTAGATATCTTTCTAATTTTTAAGTATAAATTCTCAGTGTTTCTTCAAGTCTAAATTTGAGAAGCATATCATTGGATGTTCCAAATAAAAGTATATACTATCGAAATCCAAAATTATGGTAATTTGTTTTGTATTGGGATTATCAGGGTCACTCTGTGTTTTATAGTTACGTACATTTGCCACAATGCAGCTTGTTATATGTACGCTCCTGATAGATATACATTAATAAAAGAAATACTACATTGAAATTCGATCTTGGTGCACTTTTATTTGGGACACCATGTAGAATAAAACTTTAATCAATAGAATACTTTATATTTTTCTCTTCTATTACAGGTTGTGAGCCGCATGTAACTCAGAATTTTGTTTTATTCCATTTAAGTTTGAATGAGAGTGGTGTTCATTGCGGTGTGTCAAAAATGTTGAACAAGCACACAGTAAGTATACACATTTGTTTTTCTTTTAAAGTTTTCTCTTTCTATTCTGAAACAAAAATTCTGAATATTCGATAAACGTTTGAGAGTTTCGAATTTTGAAAGTATGTGTGAAAAACTGAAATATAAGTGTATTCTCATTACCATTTTGGCCATGAATCAAACATTGAACTAAGCGATAACGATAAAGAAATATCCAGATTCATATTCCTCTATAAAGGCTTCATCAAAAAGGAAATTGTCATAAATATTTGACTGAGATGTTATTGCATAGTGTTCGGATCCCTTTGAGAAATATAAGACGTTTATTTTCATGACCTAAAACGGACATTCTTGATTTATTTTTTCTAAATTCCTATATTACTTTTTTAAAACGATTTTGTGTTATCTTATCATAAAAATTGAATAACAATGAATAAGAAATAAATTAAATAAAGTTTATAGTCAGCTGAAAAGTTATATATCCTGTCAAAAAAATAAAGAATGCTCTAAAATGTGTAATGTGTGTATAAAAGCTCATCTTGCTACAATAAATCATGATATATGTAAATTTATATAAACAGTAATTTGTAAAAACACGGAAAATAAAGTAAATTAGTTTTACTTTTATTTTCTTATTTAATTGTACAGTGTTGGTTTTAAGAGAGCGAAGCGATTTCATGTGCTTATTAAAATATAAAAAAACTAAATAGATGTTAATTTATTTCACTTTAGGATAAAGAAACATTAGTTTAAATTCAATTTACGAGTAAATGCAACGTGTAAAACTAATGATTACACTAAATCAATAAAAGAAGATCTCATAAATAATTTTAAGAGACATAATTTAAATACTTGTATAACTCACCGGAATCGTTTGGGATAGATTATCACACTGTTGAACTGTTTATACTTTGCAAGTTATAAAATATTCTATTGAGGGTTAAATCAATTTTACCTATAGTATCAAATATATTGTCATAAATATATTGTCATTGTTTAATCAACATTGTTGAAAATCGAGTAAGAAATTTTACTCCATTATTGCGTTACGAATTTTGTTAAACATTTAAAGCATGCCATTATTGGCACAATTAAATGCAAATTTTGCTTTATTTATATTCATTAATCATTAATTAATACTGGTACGCGACGTGAATAATTAATTAAGGGTCTCATCAATATTTCGTCTGTTGAAAATTTAATTTACGCACTATTGCAAATGAGCTACTTTATATAAGTTGTCTCATAAATTGCACAAATTTTTAAAATGTAATAAATCACTCAATGTGAAAGAAATCAAAATTTTTTTTAAAAAATTTTCTTCTATATATACCCTTTGATTCAATATTGGAAAACGGTATCTGTCATAACACATCATATATAGCTCCCCATTTTCGGCAAGTAGTTTGTGTGCAGATAAAATTCCCGAGGTTTTTTATACTAACATTCTGTTGATTTCATCAATGGTCCGTTGAATGTTTCACTTTAGATCGGGAACTGTTAGTGGTTTGTTCACATAAACATTCAGCATAACCATAGAAAAAACATTGCACTGAGTCAAGTCACAAGACTTCGCAGGATATTTCTGGTCAGTGACAGAGTGTCAAGTTCCGCATCCAAGGAACTTTTGTGAAACTATGCTTTTGCTGACTCGTTGGGCGTAACTAGCCCTTACTGAAACCACTTGCTAAAACTCGCGACATTGGTATCATCAAAAGCAGGCTTGAACAAAGTGCGAAATTTACGAATCGTACATCTTGTTTTCACATTAATTTTTCACAGTCATGCCTTATTGCTCCTTAGTAAACTGCTCCGTGGATTATTAACTTAGCAAATGCTCAAATAATCGGAGTAATGGTAGAAAGCGAAACTAATAAGAACTGTGCTGACAATCTTCAAATAAAAATTGCTGCGCAGTTCATAACTTGCGCTTTTTATGAAATACCCTACCCAGAATGGTACGATAAATAGTGCATTCTTTACCGTACCACTATGGAAGAGTATGTGTTTGAGCGTGGCGCTCTCAATTTTTTTTATTTCAGTGTTTTTAATACAGATCAAATATTTCTCTAATTTTGGAAATGTATAAAATTTACATGTACTTACATCATCTTTCCTTAAAATAGAGACGATGTAGGTAATTATAAATAAACACTTTACATTCTTGAACAATCTGTGCTTACATCAGCAGAAGAAACAATGTCTAAAGTAGCTAATTTTCTGATGAAAGAAATTAAAATTTAAAATGATTTAAATTTTATTTTTTGAATTTCTATAACACTTTCTTGCTCCTTTCCAGATGCTCTTCAAAAACCATTTATTGTCAGTATTTAGTCCAGATACAAAAATGGACTTAAAGGAGGCAAGGTTGCATATTAATAAAATCCTATGAGGCAAAAATATCTCTAATTTACTTAATCGCTCGAACATCAAAGCTTAACGTTGTACCTCAACCTTAATTGTGCTCAGAAAAGCTTTCATAAGCTGCATAAGATTAAATCATTTAACATAAAGTTCATTTTATTAAGAAGTTTAGAGTATACCATAAATTTATTGAATATTGAACTAAATGGAAAAAATATGAGTATACATTTACTCTCTATTAGTACACCTAGTTGAAAGCTAACTGCGCTTAAAAATATTTGAAACACTGAAACTCAAATTAACTACTGGATTAGGAAGAGCTATTGATAATGGTCATTAGTTTCACTCTGTTATGCTGAGATTCAAAACAATTGGTAGAAAACTCTGTAACATTGTCTGTTTCAAATGACGTAGCAAAAACAAGATTTTCAGAAAGGTATTAAGTTCTGACTCCAGAATATGTTTCTTCTTTTCGGTATGTGTTTCATTACAGCAAGAAGAACACCCTATGTTAAATTGTCAGGATCTCTGCAAATTGCTATTACACGTATTTTATCTAAAGCGTACTGTTAACATGAAAAATATTTAGGATTAAAATTCTGACGCACCGTTTCTACTATATGACGAGCCATTTAATAGCTATAAATCAGAAATCGAGCAATCGTAACTCGTCGGACACTTGCAAACAAGCCAGACCAGGCTTCATAAAGTGCTTTAAGCATAACATATTTTGTTAGACGCTCCATTGTCACTACACTGTTGTGCAGTCTGAATTCGTCACTTCGGCGATCCTTAACTTGTATTCAAGATATCGAGGACACTGGTTAGAATTTTCGAAGAAAGGAATACATGAAACTCAAATACCAGTATTATAAAAAAGCTCTTCTTCAAGAAAGCTTCCAGTTTTCAAATTAATCTTTCCTTAAATAACTTGAGTTAGCATAAATAAAGGGAAAATAACAGCTATGAATACTTTGGCCCTCCTCATGTCTTACCCTGTATAACCCAAGCTTATAAATGGAATTATGGTCAGCTACAGACAAATGCCCGTGATTAAGCGTAAAATTACATAAATAATTTTGAAATATGAGGAATCCCATAAAATAAATATATACCTTAGAATATGAAGGATTTTAAACCGATTATAATAACCTAGAAATGTGTGCTTTTTCAAAAGCGTTATCAATTCGTAGCGGCACGGCAAAAAAAATGTTACTTAAAAATATATTTTTCAAGCAAATAGATAAAACTGTACAGATGTTATTCATGATGAAATTTTTTGACTCCCCATTTAGATTGAAATCATATGTTTCTACTAATTCTTCACAAAAGTATGTATTGAATGCTCCATACTTTAGTTGGGATTTCGAGTTTCATTTTGAAATAGAACTTAGAATTCGAGTCCGTATTTTCATTTCATTTTGAAGGAAAATTTATGCTAGAGTGCTTTTGGTTTCTTCAGTCGTAATATAAATGCAATTAAGTTTCAATTCAAAAATGATTCAAGAATGCAACAAAACAAAGGTAAATAGATCTTGGAAGCTTTGTTGTGATGAATTAGTTAGTTGCCTTATAAGGTATTTCTCCTACCTTCTTGGCGTGCCTTCATGGTGTAGTGGTTCAGCACACTGGGCAGTATTCCAGAAGTCTGTGGTTCGATTTCCAGCGAAGGCGTTTGCTAATTTTTCATCTTGCCTGCTTCCAAAAAATACCTAATGTCTCTACAGTGGCGCCCGAACTAAAAGGGTGTTGGATGAGGTTTCTCCACACCCAGGATTTGGCGATTGGGTCCCCTGAAAACCCCAGTCGTCTTTTAAAAAGGGGAGTATATAAGGTATTTCTCTCACCTTTCTAGCGTGCCTTCGTGGTGTAGTGGTTTTGCACGCTGGGCCGGTATTCCAGAGGTCCCTGCTTCGATTCTCGGCGAAGGCGGTTGCTAAGTTTTCATCTCTTCTGCTTCCAATGAAAATTCTAATGTGTCTACAGCCTACTTTGACTAATTAATCTATGGTAATCAAAGTTTGAACATGTAGTAGACTATTAAACTTGGCTAAGATTTCTTCGAAAAGGTATATACCGTTGTTGAACAAAATCGCAAGCAATACAGCAATATACATATTATTGCTTTTTTTAATGAGAATACAGTTATAAAAAGAGAGTGAAGAGATGAAACTTTTTTTAAGGGATCTCAAGCTTTAGATGAATCTTTATCCAAAACTCAGAATATATTTTCTCTAAATTTAGATGGTCTTTATTTTAGCCTTTATTCGCAGAGAAAAAGATAACATTAATCCAGTGTTAAGGCAAAAAGGATGATTCCATATAATGAATAATGAAACAACTTTCCCAATTCTCCTACATCAATCTATCCTAAATTGGACTTTCGCCAAGTTCGACCCCCTCGTCCCGTTATTTAAAGATCAGGAAAGTGGAACCTTGAATCTCCTTCTGATATCATCTTTGACGTCTTGACAAGCTTTGCAATGATTGCTATTATTAATCGTGTTACATGTTAGAACGTGTATTTTTCCGTAGAGTATTTTATGTGAGTGTGCATCCCTCAAATATTTATCACTTAGAGTAGTACTTCAATAGGAACTGTGTTTAAGAATCAGGGGAGTCATAAAGTATGCGGTGCGGACCTATAACTGAAAAAG